GAGCAGAATAAAGGCTGGCCCACTGGGGCTCCTCACCCTCCAGAGGTGGCAGAAGGTCCCGCCACTTCGTATCGGGGCGGGACGCGAGGGTGAGGACATGAAGAACATGGAGCACGAGCGTGTATAGATGTTTCCTTGGCACGGTCCGGAACAGAACCGGCTGCAGATCGTGCAGCCGGCTCATGGCGAAGGGACGGGGAGGGGGCCGGTTGGGTCCACGGGGCAGGGGCCCGATGAAAAAGTCTGGAGGGCTCGGAGTGGAGGGTGGGCGGGGCGTGCCCTCTCGCAGGACCCGGTCGAGATAGTCCCGAGCAGCGGGCAGCAAAGCGGCCCATTGCCGGTGACGGCCAGGTATGGGCCCGACGCTCCAGCGCCATCCATTTTCAGGGCTAGTTGATTGACACTTGTTAGGTAGGTAGATCTTATAGAGGTTTCCTAAATGGGCCTTCAGTCCTTTGATCTTGACTCCATGTATGAGGTCTGAGCAGGGAGTTATGGGGTTGGGCCACTGCACCCTGCCATGCTGCAGATGTCTGATAGCGGATAATATTTGTCACTGCTCACATTGGCCATATTGTTGAGTAAATTATGGCCATCCAAATACTGTAAAAATCAATTCCAAAAGCAGGCAAGTGATATGTTCAAGGTGCTTCTAAACAGGGCGTTAGTGGCAGATTTGATTTTTCAAGTGAGATAGGAAACTTCCATAAAGGAAGGTTGAATTTACGGAAAGGAAACACATTATAAGAACTAGATACAAGTTAATTACAAGAACTGATCAGCTTCCAGCCAGCTTTTGGCTACATTATGCAAAAATATTCGTAACTGCTATGTATATTTGAAAATGTAATAAGTCTTATTAATATAGCAGGTTTACCTCATCTCTCTTGAATGTTCTGATTTTCTTTGAGTATTCAGAATTTCAGAAAGGTTAAGTGTCCTGAAAATAATGGGGAAGTTCTTTATTCATTTCATCATTACCCTTTCTGAGTAAATAGTTTACAGTAATAAAAAATCCATAGCTCAAGGCCCTATTGGATCTCTGAGGCGAAAAAGTGAGCGGTATATATGTAGTGGGAGTAGGTTGACCAGACAGCAAATGTGAAAAATCGGTACAGGGGGTGGGGGGTTATAGGAGCCTATATAAGAAAAAGACTCAAAAATCGGGACTGTCCCTATAGAATCGGGACATTTGGTTACCCTAAGTGGGAGGCTGAAACTTGAAAGGTGTCATTTACTGAAGCCTTTGCAAATCCTGTGATGTTTTGTTCTACATAATGCAGAACTGCTCTCTAGTGGTAGAGACCTATCACTGCAGATTAATCATAGAATCATCTTTAAGCCAAATCCTTACCCAGTCCAGATAACTGAACAATTTTGCTGGGATAAGGAGTGAGTAAAAACACTGTAAAGACTTCAGAATTGGGCTGCAGGAAAGTGAGATAGAATAGTTCATTTAGCCTAGCTCCCTGACGGTGCAGAATTGATCTCTTCAGTACTGTAGTTCGTATACCTGGACTTCATGGGGACTGGTACATGTTTTTGGTGATTATCAGTTATCTTGACAAATTAGTGCTGGTGTAAGTGGGCTTAAATGGTTGCCTGGAAGCTGGGAATGCTAGAAAGTGCAGATTGCTACTAGTCAGTAAAGTTTCTTCCCCTTTTAACTCATACATAATTATAGAAATTGGAGATTAGAATTCTGTATTGGGACATTCAAACCATTCCCTTGCTAGGTTTGTTTCCTTAAATATTTTTTTTTTAGTTCTTTACCAATCTAGTTTTAAAGGTCTCTAAAATTGCTAAAATACGTCATATTTTGTTTGTAATACACAATGTAGTTTTGCTTGCAAAAGTCAGAGAAACTAAGAAAATCAGTAAAGAATATACCCTTTCTATAATTATTAAATGCCAGATTGAAAGATTTAAAAGGCATTGAGCAATATAATCAGATCTAAAGGCTTATTGTTCAACAGCCAGGATACAATATTGGACAATTGAACTTTTCTATAGTTTAATCATTTCACATTTGTAAACCCTGTACACTCTAAGTATCTCTTGAAGACAAACTTGTTGTGGTAATAGAGATGAGCAAATTGTATAGCAGCCTTACAACAGTTTCTCATTAAATTTATGGTACTGAATATGAAGAAAACCATAACAATCTGAGTTAACCTTGTTGAATAGATTTTCTGTGGCTCACAATAAAGACAATCTTTTGTAAATATCAATATATAGGAGGAGTGTTGTTCACACAACAGGTTATCACACGGTTTGCTGGTTTCCAGTTTGCAGTCATAGTGATAAACAGCGCTGTGTGTTGTTCGCTCATCTTGAAATTTAGAATCCACACAAAAAAATTATATGGATACCGCTAAAATAAGGTACTGCCAAAGAACTTGCATTTGGCTACTGGTCTATCATCATTATGATAAGCAACAGTCACAGCACAGCAGCTACCTACCCTCTGCAAAAAATTCTGCAGACATTACAGGAGTGGAAAATCTTAATGAAAGCTTTCAAGGAGAACAATGAGGTGGCTTTGTGAATGTTTATAGGGAGCTCCACACACAATTTTTTTTTTAATTACCTGTATTTGTACTTTCAGTTTCATGATTTGTGCAGGTAGTTGCACACACAGCTCTGGTCATTGTTTTTAAAAAAAATTGGCCCAGAGTATTTTGCATCAGTCAAATATTGCAATAACTTGATCTCTTCCCCCTCCCCCTTCATTTTGAGAGACTGAATCCTTTGGAAAATGACTGCTAGACCTTGCTGGAGCCAGGCATGCTCTAGGAAGATGCTTTGCAAGCTGCCATGTGCATTAATGCCCATACACCTCAATCTAACCTCAATCTATTGTAAAACATCCATGCTACTCCACATCCAAATCTCTCCTGAAGAAAGGGTGCTGATTATGTTAAATTATCAGAGAGTTCTGTGATGTGGACTACTCCACAACTGGACTGGAGTGAGGCCACCAAGAAGTGTTAGCCAAATTCAGACCTGAGCCTAGAAGTAGAATCGTAGGACTGACCGGACCTCAACAGGTCTTTTAGTCCAGTTCCCTGCACTTAAGGCAGGACTAAGTATACATCTCCAAAAAGTATTATATAATAAACGAATGCATGGTCAATCCCACAATCTGAAATCGCTAATTTCATTTAATTTAATTATTAGGGCATTTGACCTTCAATCATTCTTAAATAAATCAATATTTGTTATGGAGACTAAGCAGCAAAATATACAAGGTCTGGTGAAGTCCTCCATCTATTAGTGTGCTGCATTACCTGATGACAATTACAGTTTTCAGCAAATGGACTCACCAGCTGTTCCATAAGAAGTGCAGGTGATTTACCATCTGTGCCATGCAATATGCTCATTCCCCATGATGTTCTATGGAGTTGTGCTACATAAAGTGATGCAGTTTAACCCCGTTACACAAAAACAGACCATCTTTTAAAGGGCGTTTTGCATTTAATTTGTTTAAAATAGACTTAAAAAGCAGATATTCCAAGGCTAGGCAGAAAAGCATTAACACCTCTTTTGTCTTCACTAGCAAAGATGAGAAGCTGGATATGAGTCAACAGTGTGCCCTTATTGCCAAGAAGGCTAATGACATTTTGGGCTGTATAAGTAGAGGCATTGCCAGCAGATCGAGAGACGTGATCATTCCCCTCTATTCAACATTGGTGAGGCCTCATCTGGAGTACTGTGTCCAGTTTTGGGCCCCACGCTACAAGAAGGATGTGGAAAAATTGGAAAGAGTCCAGCAGAGGGCCACAAAAATGATTAGGGGGCTGGAGCACATGACTTACGAGGATAGATTGAGGGAACTGGGATTGTTTAGTCTGCAGAAGAGAAGAATGAGGGGGGATTTGATAGCTGCTTTCAACTACCTGAAAGGGGATTCCAAAGAGGATGGATCTAGACTGTTCTCAGTGGTATCAGATGACAGAACAAGGAGTAATGGTCTCAAGTTGCAGTGAGGGCGGTTTAGGTTGGATATTAGAAAAACTTTTTCACCAGGAGCGTGGTAAAGCACTGGAATGGGTTACCTAGGGAGGTGATGGAATCTCCTTCCTTAGAGGTTTTTAAGATCAGGCTTGACAAAGCCCTGGCTGGGATGATTTAGTTGGGGATTGGTCCTGCTTTGAGCAGGGGGTTGGCCTAGATGACCTCCTGAGGTCCCTTCCAACCCGGATATTCTATGATTCTATGAAAAGGATATTATAGTCTCGTATTACCCATTCCCAAGATATTATGTTCAAAAGTGTTTGCATGAACTACATCAACTGATAACCTTGGGCTGGCCTAGTTGGTGTAAACAAATTGTTCTGTAAGTCATTACTTTATATACATATAGCACCAGCAGTTCCTAAAAGCAATGAGATCAGTACTGATCATACCAGATGTGTTGGTGAAATCTTAAGTCAAATACGATTGCCAGCAGTTCCAAAGCACTCTGGAAAGCTGAATTAAAGCAATATAGTTCACTGCTATGGCTAACTGCAGTACTTTTTCAAAGCACCCTGAACTAATGTATCATGTGAAATCAGAATAGAGGTGAAGATACGGCGGGGGTGTCACAATGGTGGAATCCAAGCTTTTGTCTTAGTGGCAAAAAAAGCTCCCAGAAGGTCTTCTCTTACAAAAACCATAAGATGTTCATGTTCATCTTCAGAAGCAAACATAGAAATAACTGGTTTCAGAGTAGCAGCCGTGTTAGTCTGTATCCGCAAAAAGAAGAACAGGAGGACTTGTGGCACCTTAGAGACTAACAAATTTATTAGAGCATAAGCTTTCGTGGACTACAGCCCACTTCTTCGGATGCATATATGCATATATGCATCCGA